CGGGCTCTTTGCAAATCACATTTGCTGTTGCTAAGTCTAAGGTGGCGCTTGGATCCCAGATCATGCACGTAGGCTCTGCAGAAGATGCCTGGCTCACAATTTATAATTACATAATAAATGTATTCTTCAGAACAACACTTGAATTGTTAGAAGTAGCAGGTAGCAAGAGAGCTTTGTTTCCATGGAAAGCAGCCTCCCACAACCTGGAATCTCCTCTCTGCGATGAACTACAGCTCCCATCATCCCCAGACTGCTTGGCCAATGGTTAAACCAACTGATGACTAATGCCTGTTAAAGTCAAACCTATTTGGAGATCAACAGGCTGGGGAAGGACTCCTCCCGACAAGCCTTTTGGCTTGGGCTCTCCAGGGAGCTGTGCTGGCCTCTCTGTCTTTGGGGCAGCCATAGCACAGCCCATGAGAGGTCCCCAAAATGAGGGACGGGTGGGGTGGTGCTTGCAGAGGATTTTACCAGAAAATGCTGCGGTGGGAGAACGACTAGCAGGGTTTGCTAGAGTGCCGCGTGGAGCAGGTAGTGTGAATGGCAGCAGTCCTGGCGCCACGAAACCTCCTGCTGCTTGGATCCACTCCACCTCACGGAAGAGCCAGCCCGGAGTCCCTCAGGGCTTGATAAGGTGCCTGCACATGGCGGCTGGTGCTGTGGAAAAGAGGAGTTGCTGCGCACCTTGCAGGATGCTGTTCATGCTGGCTGTGCAGCCACAAGGAGTTCTGGACTAGTGCGTGAAGCCCATGAGGAGGGAAATCATCCTTGACACGCTGGGCAGACTGGCACAAAATAAAGGGCTCCTTTTGTTTCGGGGGCTGCAGTTGGCCTGTGCCTCCTGAGCCTTCACTCAGCCCTTGCCTGTGACAGCAGAGCAGCCAGGCCAATGGCAGGCCGGGGAAGGGCCTCCCTGGGAGGACAGCAGGATAGCCTGCTGCCAGTGGCTCCAACCACCTCCTGCTTGGCTTTGAATATTAGTTGAATGATTCATGAGGACTTCAAAGACTGGGGAGAACCCTAAAAATGTGGGACTGGGCTACTTGAAGGACCATCTTTTCTTGGTCTTCAGGAGAATCTGCGATCTCCAGGGAAATCTCTGCTTCATGTCCCTCCACCATGAGAGATAGTGGGAAGGAATGAAGCTGACCTTTCCATCCTGGAAGCTGCTTGCCCAGGAAGGCCACACTGGCCCATTTCCTCATGGCCTTTAGATGGCAGACCAAAGCATTTCTATACCAGAGGCTTATGTGCTTGCCTGCCTCCTGACCCTCCTGCCAAATATGAAGATGCCTTGCAATTAGTTGCTGTGTCTTGTTTAGCTTTTGTTGTGTTTAGCTCATTTTATGATTGCTCATAAATCTTGGTGTTGGCTAATGTGAATGCCTCGATTTGTTGTGTTGGAAAAGCAGGAGCTGTAGCTATTTTAGCAAATATGAAACTAAATCCTTGGCATTTTTAACTGTTGTGTAAAAGGGCAGCCCATCATTACTGTTGCTTTTGTTACCAGGAGCCAAGGCTGGAAGGGCTCTCCTTTGACTTGTAAAGGATGACGTTGAAAGGAAATTCAGTTCAGGGGCCTGCACCTCCATGAAAGGAAAACAGGAAAGCTTTCCCCCTGCAAACTCAAGCATGTCTTTCCCCAGATCCCTCTACCTGATCCATCTGTAGGTTGCTCAGTCCCCCACCGCCCAGCTGATTGATGGACTGCAATGATGTCTCCCTTCCTATAGGTTTAACTTCATGAAATGCCTGCTGCCCTGCATCTGATGGGTGTGAAGCTCCAACAAGCCCAGGATTTGGCTTTGCCTGCTGTCCCCACTATTACCTAAATTGGGGCACTGAACCTCAGGCCAGGGGACCCAATCTGGTCCCCAGACTCCCTTTCCTTGGCCACTGATGGTTTCATAGTTTCCTTGCTCTTGCACATTTTGTTTCCTATTCTAAAAGGTCAAAAAGCCTGCTCTGTGGTTTAGCAAGAGCTTCAAGCTAAAATATGCTGGCATTGTTAGCATCTTGGCCCACCCCCTTTTCCCTTCAGCCCTGCCCACTGCCCGGATGTGGGCCCATGAGTGTCTTCAAACTGAATTAGGCCCTTGCACTGCCAGAGTTTCAACACCCTTCGTTAAATCTCTGAAAGGTTCTATCATCCAAGCAGGCAGGCGCATTAAGAACATGGTGGACCTTGATGTACAGTGGCACCTCGGCTCACAAACTTAATCCATTCCATGATTCTGGTCATGACCTGAATTGATCGTGAGCCAAGGCAAATCCCTCCATAAGGTTCAAGGTAAATAAGATTAATCCATTCTGTAAATATTTTTTTAATCACAAAAATTTGAAAAAAAGTAACAAAGAACAACAAAAAAGTACAGTACAGTAGAGAACACTAACCTAGGCGTGGGGAGGTTATTGTTTGGAGGGAGAGTCCAAACAATGATCATGCGAAGCAATTGTGCTTGGGGAGGGGGGAGACGGCCGTGATCGCACTCATGCAGGGGAGATGGCCGCCATCCATTGCGTTTGTGCCGCAACATGGCTGCAATCGTGGTTGTCACCCAACGCAGAGTTTGGGAACTGAGGCAAAATTTTTCTGAAACTTCTGTTTGCGACCCAATTTGGTCATGAACTGAGACGTTCATGAGCCAAGGTACCGCTGTATCTGGTGCAAACGAGGCACCTGAATGAGCTAAAAGAGTCCTTGCCTAGCTTCCTGACTGGTGGGGTGGGTAGATCAGGATCTACCAGCAGAGCAGCAAGAGTTTCAGGTTCACAACTTTTTAACAACAGTTGCAGCTAAAATCCTGTTTCTCCCAACATGAAGTTGCTAAAAAGAATTATCGGGGGGAACCAGGAGTTTGTGTGAAAGGACCTGTGAGACGATTTCTGGTCCTGATCACAAATTTCTGTTCAGAGACACCTTGCTGCTTAACCCTTCGTGAATGCTGACCTGCCTGAGCCACAGCTGTGCACCTGGTTCTTGTTAGTGGATTTTGGGTTCTAGGGAAAAACACAGCAGCTCCTGTCTGCCCAGCCCGCTCTGAGCCATCCGTGGCAACACCCTGAGCAGCATGGAAGCACGGCTTCCCCTTCCCCCGGCACCCCTACACTGCACGACCGGAGAAGGGAATGGCGGCAGGGTGAGGCTGCTCGGCCTGGTGACATCTGGCCGGTGGGGGCCTGGTGGGGGCAGCGTCACCCAGCCCCCTCAATAAGTGCCCGCTCCCACTCCCCACTCAGTGACTAGGAGTTTGTTGACCCCATCAAGGAAGCCACAGCCCTGAATTGAGAACGGCTAAGCAGGGGTGTCATGAACAGGACATCTGGGGGGCTTTCGTTCGCAGGATTGAAGCTGGAGTGGAGTAGACTGGACTGCACACAACAACATATGTAGTGCTATGGGTTATGCTGCAGTCAAAAGGAAACTTTTGCTGGCTCACAGTTTTTCCTCTGGTGAATCCTAGACTGGCAAGTTTAAAAGGGTATCAGCCGTAAAGAGATTTTGATAAGACCTGATGGAGAAACAAAGGGCACTACCTTAGTCGAACAGGACTTTTAACTGTCATGTCTGGGAACTGGAGTCTGAGATTTCTAATCTTTGTTTTGGGGATGCAGTGCTGACATTTCCCAACGCAAAGATGATCCCCATTTTCAGGAGTAGCTAGGAAAGTAAACAGTTTTGCAGTACTTTCCCCTGCTGATTGGCTATTTTAAATATTTGTTTATATTTGTGTTAAATATTGATATGGGTTGGGGGCTCTTGGAAACCACAGCTGCTGCTCCTGTTTTCGACCTTTATGGTTTTGGGCAAGATTCTGACCTCGAACACTTTTCTTTTTTGCTCCTCGTGCGGGAAAACTGGAAAAGGTACTTTGACGATTCGGGCGAGGCTTGGCTACTTACAAACCTCCAACGGCATCACTTCTACCCCGTGTCGTGCGCTAAACTAGTTCCCTGGCAAGTTTGCGGTGGAAAGGGTGTGTGTGTGTGTCCGAATTGGTCTCCCCGTAAGAGAGTCTATGGAAGCTACAGAAACTTTTCTGAACACGTCCTAGTGTCCATTCCGACTCAGTGCTAGGTAGGTGTGAACGGAAATCCCCCCCCCCATGACAAGTTCTTTTCGATCCTGCAAGGTAGCCCGTCCTCAAACTGGTGTCTTCCAGATGTATTGGACTACAACTCCCTGCATCCCCCACGGTTATGTTGCCACGGGATGATTTGAAACATGCCCTATCTGAAGGGGACTGAGTTGGGGTAGGCTCTTCCCGAGGCGAGGAAGAGTGAGGCGGCGGAGCGATCTTGTCCGTCTTACCCAGGGGCTGGGGCGGGCTTAGTTACGGGAATGGGATGAGGCGGGGCTCTGAGCCTTCCGCTTGCGGGGTTAGTTTTCCTCCAACTCCCGCGCTTATTTCTTCGCTCTTCAGCTCCTTCATGTCCTTGGCTGCAGCTCTGAATTGATGGGGGTGCAACACTGCTTCCCCCCGTAGCCATCGGGCCGCACTCAAGTCTTCCCGTCTCAGTTCGGTGCACGCTTACTCGGGAGTAAAATAAACCAATCCCTAACCGCAGTGTGAGCGTGGGATACGGATTTCATAGCCATCGGTCTGCCAACCGCTCCGCTCTTGGCCCCGCGGATATATCTACCACTGTTTTCTTAATCCGCGCTCCTTTTCTCTCTCCTTCAGTATATATTTACAGACTACTCCTTCGGAGGAGGGCTCTATCCCTTTAAGAACAGCGCCTCCGGGTGACGTAGCAACGAACGCAGCTCTTTTGGAATGTATGCAAATAAGCTCTTCTCCCTCCGGCCAACGGGAAGCAGAGTTCGTTCCTCCCCAGCCAACAGCGTGCGAGCGCTGCTAGGGGGTGGCCAATAGATGCAAAGCGCCGGCTCTCACCATATAAGGAGCGTCCTCGCCATAAAAGGCAACATTGTATCGCTTTATATGGGGGGGAAGGTAGCAAGGAGGGGGAGGAGGGCGGTGGGCGCCCCGGGCCGGCGCGGGCCCTGATTCTAGCGTGAGCAAGCGAGGAGGAAGGCGGGCGGCGGCGGCAGCTGGGCAGAGAGCTAGTGAGCGTGAAGGGGGCCGGGCCGGAGCAGCCGGCGCTGGGCCCATGGCAGCGCCGGCCTGACCCGACGCATTAGTCCTTCTCGCACTTGGAAGGCGGCGGCGGCGGCACTAACACCACCACCACCACCATGTTACCCAGCCAGGCAGGGGCCGGGAACGGCGCTGCCGCTCTGCCCCGCAGTTCGGTCATGGGCATGGCGCGGACGTCCTCCGGCCGACCAGGCGCCGGGCTCCCCCGAGGGGCGAACGGCGGCAGCAGCGGCGGCTCTGCAGCAGTCCGGGGCCCCGGCAATGGGACGGGCCCGCCTAGCGGGCAGCCGGCGACGGTCGGGGGCCGCTTCGAGCGGGACCGGGACGTCGGTACGGCGGCGGCCAGCGCCAGCGAAGGCGAGTCTGACTCGGCCGAAGACGAAGAGTTGGTGGGCGACCGGCGCGGCCTGAAGCGGACTTTGGGTGACATGGAACTGGGGGTGGTGACGGGCCCGGAGGCGGCGGCCGCGGCGGCCGCGGCAGCGGGTTACGGCGGCGTGAGCGGCTCGGTGAGCGGCGCCAAGCCCGGCAAGAAGACCCGCGGGCGCGTCAAGATCAAGATGGAATTCATCGACAACAAGCTGCGGCGCTACACCACGTTCAGCAAGAGGAAGACGGGTATCATGAAGAAGGTACCGCCGGCTGGCGAGGGCGAAGAGCTAGAGAAGGGAGAGAGGGCGGCCGCCAACGTGAGGCGACCCCCTCGGGGGACCCCGGTGAAGGCGGTATTTCTGGTGGGTCGGCAGATCCTAATTGGCCGGAGCGTTTAGAGAGGAAATGAGCACGGGAACGGCGCCGGCTCTCCAGGCTGCCCGTGTACCCCTCACTCTGTGTGCCCGAGAGACACTGTGGGAAGGGAGAGCGCCCTTGACATGCTCAGAGGTACCCTTCTCACTGCATGTGTTCATCAGAGTGGCCGGACGCTCCGGGCAGAAGTTGCTGCCTGCCGGTCCTCGCCCGGCGTGTCTTGTGGCTACTCAGCTTCGCGATCGGGACGTTGATACCGGAAGGGGAGACGGGCTACTCAGCCCACGCTCCCACACCGGAAAGGCACGCCCCACTGTGGACCGCATTTAGCACGAGGCAGCCCCCTTAGTTAGCTGGACCCTTAAAAATAAGTATCATAAAGAGGAAACACGGGTTAATCTCAGTTTTTTCCAGAACGAGTTACGTATAGGTCGGAGTTTATTCTAGCCTGAGGCGCATCCGCTGTCGCATCCCGAGGAGAAAGTAGGTCTGTGTGATAGAGTTTACTCCTCCCCTTTCTCTCTTGTAAGTGCAGAAACTTGCAGGCAGCAGTAGATATAAATTCCATGGAGTTAAGTGGGACTCGTTTGTTGGGAAGGCGACATGCATCGCTGGCTTGCCGGGTATGTTTGCTTCTCAGTAGCGAATTAGTGAGTGCAAGTGACAAGCTCCGAAGTTCCAGGAGTGGGTTCCTTAAACACTGAAACTGCTAGGCTTTCTGCTGAAGGCAACAGGTTGACAAGAGAAAAGGCACAACCTCATACTGGTTCATTGAGGTCTGCTTTTTTAAGGGCCCTTTCTCCCAGGAAAGAGGACGCAGAATTGCAGCATGACTGCAGGGAACTGAGGCAACGATCCTGAACGGGCTAAGGAGTAAGCACCATTGAATGCTTTGAGGTTTACCTCTGAGTAAATGTGCCTTAGACTGTGCTATGAGTGAAGACTTGCCCTTGATTCAGTGTTGGGGCCCCTTCTTGAGGCTATTTTGCTTTGGCAGGTTACATTGCAGTTGTGTGTATGTGTGTGTATAGATGAAAGTCCCACAGCTTTCAGTGGGACTTCCTTTCAGGTAAGTGTGTATTGACTTCTGTAATTACCTTTTTATGTAATTACACTGAGAGAGACATACTATTATTGCACAAAACTTTGGTTAGTCTTTAAGGAACCCTGAAACTCCCTTGGTGTGTTGAGCCCATCAGAATTGACATCTTTCCTCTGTAAAGATGCTATAAAGTTTGAGGTGTCATCACCAGACTTAAATGATGGTACAAAACTTTCCACTTGTTAATATTCTCTGACCCCTTCTCTGCCTTTATAGGCTAATAAAAATAAGATTGGACTGCAAAGATTTTTTTTTTAGAGAACAGAGGACTAGCGCAGGAATAAATACCAAATACCTGAATATTGCAGTATTCAGCTTAATGCATTGTTTTTTCATTTTCAGTTTTTTAAAATGACTGGAAAGTAACATTCACTTGACATTGCAAAACCAGCCTTCTACAGGCTCAAATGGATCTCTTAAAAATTAGCTCTTTGAGCATTTAAACAGTTAGGGTCATTTGTGTCTCTGTTATCAGCACAAGAATCATGAAAAGCTGTCTTTGATCCTAAAGTAAATCCCCTAAAGGAACAATCCCATGGCTCCTAACAGTGTCTAGAAGGTCACAGAACTATTTGGATTCCCAGCTCGGGGGTTAGAAAATTAATACTGTCTTTGAGTTGTGAATCTGTTCTTGGATCCCCCTCTTCCCCCACCTTGCAGCTGGTGTGGGAACGAGTGCTGGCTGCTTCCCTGAAGTTGTAGGAATGACCTTAGAGAAGGAATAAAGAGGGCATGGGGGGGGGGGGGGAGACTGGTTCTGCAAGGATATGATGTATCCTTAAGGTGCTCCACCCTCCTTCCTTCTGATCTGCAGGGAGATTGCCTCCATGTTCCTCACATCCTGCATAGGATGCTTACAGTCCAAGTTGGGAAGCTTATGTATAGCCACATTGGATTGCACCCTAAATTTCCTTTGCTATATCAACATTCAAGAGCCATTAATATCAGTAATTTCTTTTGCATCTTCTGGCATAGAGTTGAGTCTGGCCCAGTGCTTTGTTTGGGTGCAACACCTTGTCAGGTATGTTCGTGTGTCAATATTAGCTAATAATTAAGGAGCTGGAGGTGTGCACTCCACGACGACAGTGTCTGGATGCCAGGAATGGCCAGAGACCTGATGGGATGCTATATACTATTGCAGAGGATGTTGTCTTAGAGATGTGTGTGTCTGATCTGGGGTGCTCCAGTTCCTTTTTTATGGATTTATTGGTGTGGGGGCCATACACTTAATGATGTGTTTTGTGCCAAGAGGAAAAGTTGGGCCGGAGGTGATGCTATGGTGGTTTGTGACAACCAGTGTCCTGAGGATGAATGGCATAAGGCACATGTGATAGAGCATGTTACTAGAGCTGGTTCTTGGGTTTGTTGTTTGCAGCCTAATAGAAGAAAATGAGCTAATGCCTAAGACCTGATGCCTGGTTGGAAAAATGAAAGGAGAGAGACCATGCAGCTCCTTGAGTCAAGGTGGAGGTGGGGGTGGGGGGGAGGCCTTATCACCAGTTCACTGGTGTTTTACACTGAACTGATCACTGGGTTTTTGATTTTCAGCTCACCCTGTTGTCTAATGCTGTATGTACTGTATGAATGCAGAAGTGTTTCTAAGCTGCTCCTACTTCTCATTTTTCTATTAATGAGAATCTCTGCTTCTCTGCTAATACATAAAGTTAAAACACATTCAAGAAACCTCTCTAACAGCAATACACTGAAATAATCCTATTTCTGTTCCAAAATTTCCAAAGTGACTTCTTAGCATCGTTGCTGTTTTCCACTAATGCTAGATTCTGCTCAGAGTGAAAGATTGACTTCTTACTTACAGAATTATTTCCCTGAAGTGATAGGCCCAGGATTCAACAGTTCAACAGTTCTGCAGGGGAAGTTTGTGACAACCTCCATATGGGCCCTTTGGTTTTGGGTTGCTTACACAGAGCAGAAAGATGTGGCTGAGTAGTTAACCTGGTGGAGAGTAGCAATGCTGATGGAACAGATCCCAGCACACACCAACCTGGTGTCCTTCAGATGTGTTGGATCAGCTCACAACATCCACTAGCCTGAATGAGGAAGGCTGGAGAAGAGGGTGGATGGATTATCCATGTACTGCTACTTAACATAGTAATGGGTGTCCTGTTTAGCAACCTATTATCTAGCCTAAATTGGTTTTGCAGTGGCTTAATGTTTACGTTTACCCGCAGGGAACTGTGCTTCTCTGATGGAGCTGGGGTTTGCTAACAGATGGGTCATCATGCTTCCAGTGCTACATTTTCCAAGGAGAGCTGAATCAGTTTTCAAGCTAGTCTTATGTTTGTCTTGTAGGTGTGTCCTAACTTAACTGGCACATGTCTCCTGATCTGATAGTGGCTGCGCAGGAAGGAATGACAAATCATAAAAGGAGTGGTATTTCTACCTAAAATCTGTGAATAAGTGTCGCAGCCCATGTGTCTGTGCGTCTCCCTCTCACTTGCATGAATATAGTTTCAGGATGGAAGAGCCCTGCCAAGGACCCATCTTGTTGCGCATCCGGTTCCATCAGTGGTCAGCTGGTTATACCAAAGCAAGACCCCGTCCTTTCCTTACCTCCCAGCAATTAATACCCTTGTTGCTTTATGGTTTTGTGATCTGATGCATCCCCATTCTCCCCCCATTCTCCCCCCACCAGCTATTTCTCTTCCCCACCTCACTTTTAGACATTTGCATGCAAATTTAAAATAAATAATGAAGAAGAAATAAGTGAAAGACACGGCCTCCATACAAACCATTCTTGATAGATAGCTGAATTTCACATTACTGAATTCGCCTTCTGATACGGCCTCTATACCTTGTATAATGCCACAGACATAATCCAGACTTTTCTGTATTTCCATGCTTCTTCTTTGCTGACTGCTCCAGGGCTGTTTCTGTTGATGTCTCTTTAAGTCACCTTTCTTGGCTTGACAAAGATTTACACTTTCCTATTATTATTACATTGGATTTATGCCCTGCCTTTCTTCACTTAGGGAAAATTCAAGGCAGGTTACAGCACCATTTTTCATCACAACAACAACCCTGTAGAGTAGGCTAGTCTGAGAGTCTGTGACTGGCCCAAAGTCACCCCAGTGAGTTTCATGGTTGAGTGGGGACTAAAACCAGATCTCTTGAGTCCCCAGTCCAGCACGCTAATCAGCACAACACACTGGCTTGCCTATACCTAGAGGCTTTGTGCGGCGATTAAAAGTAGTAGAATAGTAGTAATCCCCTTTCATTTTTTTAAAATTGGGGATGGGAAGCCTGTGGTCCTTTTGGTGTTGTGGCATTCTTGGTCCTCACCAGTATGGCCAATAGTCAGGGATGATGGGAGTTATAATCCAACATGTGGAGGAACACTGGTTCCTTATCCTGGCATAATGCCATCTTTCTTCCAAGGAACTCGGAATGGTGTCGTCTTTTTTTTTTCTGCCCTGCCCTGATTTATCTTGATAACAACCCAGTGTAGTAGGTTAGGCAACTTGCTTCTTGGCTGGCAGAGCAGAGACTGGGCTCCAGGTTTCATAGGGCTAAGACCAATTTCTCACTGCTATAGCTGAGCTCTCCAATTAGCATTTAAATTGCAATTTATAGGCCTCAAAGAACTTCACATACATTATGTTATTCATAATCTTTACAGCAACCCTGAAAACAGGTGAGTGGTAATGCTCCTGTAATATGTCTTGGTGAGCTGCAGTTAACAGCTTTGCCTGAGGCAGCGCACTCTGTTCAGGTTGTTTCAGCCACAGCTTTACGCCAGGTACCCTCCATGAAATAAATATATGGATGGTATCCAATGAAGTCCTCCAACAGAATTGTTTCTGTCAGGAAAATGGTGTGTGTGAGTGACAACTCCTCTGCGTGCCCTCAAATTCCAGGTTTGGAGCCGCCTCAGAAGATTTGGAGGGGCTGCAGTGGGGGACGAGAAAGTCCTCTGGCATAAATGGGCATTTGCTTGCCTGATGCTAGATTTTGCTCTGTGTATTTTTTTTCCTCAGTCCATTTTTAATCTTCCTGAAGTTCAGCATCCTTGTACGAGATCCTTTCTATGATAATGCTTTTTCTGGGGCTGGTGTATATAATAGTCAACTTGCGTTTTATGTCTTTACTTAAAAGTTTTGTTGAACGGTTTTCCTTTGAAGCACCAAAAGTAGCAAGTGCCAGGGGGAGAGTTTGCCTGGTTGGCTAGTTATTATAAGCATTACAGAACAGTTTCATAGACATTAAAAAACTGCAGGCTTGATTATTTGATTATTTATTTTAAAGCAGCCAATTGAAATAGTTGCATGAGTGTACTTTTATACCCCAAACAAAGGAGCAAAATACATTCAGTACAGATCATCATAGTCTCTTGCTAAAGTTAAGATTCTTAGCTAAAACTTCCAGCAAACAGAATTACTAGGCCAAACTATTGTGCAGAGCAAGCATTGTTACACAGATTTCTCATTTTGCATTGAAATTACATATACTTGCTGATAGCTGAAAGTCATTCTTACTTTGATTGAAACCGCCCGAGAGGAAAATTCAGCTAAAACAAAGGCTTTTCATAAGCAACTTTCTTCATGCCTGAGACACTTTGGGGTCAAAAATAACCCCAAATGCAACTAATGCTAGTGTTTCATTGAAAAGAGCTCTCCTGATTTTAGTGAGTCTGTTCTAAGCATGCTTTTAGATCCAGCTCAATATCATTTTAATTTTAAAGAAAAAAAGCACCCAAGTGAAGAACACTGCTAAGATAAAACCAGCAGGAATAAAGAATAATTGTATGTGTGGTTTTTTAAGAACTAGAAGTGTGAGAGGATAAGTCTTCACCTGCTGCCTGAATCGGTAAAAGTAGGTGCCACATGGACAAGACTTGTTCACTGCTGTTTTAGCGGGTAGGAGTTAGTCAATGAGGTTACATTGCAGGAGGGGCAGTGTTAGTTGAACACTAGTAGTAACTTCTTGAACAGTTTGACAATGCAACCAATCATCTGGAGGAATGATGGGCTCTTCCTCACTGGAGGCGTTTAAATAGAGGCAGGTCAGCCCTGCAGATCAACCTGCAGCTCAATGGTTGCATGATTTTGAATGTTTCATAAATGAGACACCAACATAGATAAGACTATTCCTGGTTGCTACCTGTTTCATTTCTGGGGCTGGGTTTATCCAGAGGAGAGTTTCTACTGAATGTCCAAGCTAATGACCAGAAGCAGGTGTGGTTCCGATACTTTTTGAATTGTAGCAAGCCAGTGTAGATAATTAACACTGGTGTATTATCTCAGTTCATTGCCATGACCTGATTAAGACATGAGAGCCAAGGTATGTATCAGCCATGTGTGCACGCTCCACCCTTTCCTTTCTTGGTGTCCTGTGACTGAAGTCTTGTTGGGTTAAATTAAGTAAATTAATTACAAGGCCTGGAAGAAACCAGGCTCTTAAACCATGATTTAAAGTGGCTTAAGGTCTTGGTTAGTTCTGACCCTTGTAATACTTCCCAGTCAGTGGGAAACGATATGATCCATTAATTCAGAAAGCCTTCAGCTGAAGAATGCTGAATCCAGAGAGGGTGTTAAGCACAAGCATCTTGGTTTATTAAATCGAATTCTGCAGCTGTGTCCAAATCAAGTGAGGGGTTCCCCTGTTCCTAGACTGGCCTCCATATCCTGAAGTTCTTGAGCATGTTTTAGCATTCTAGTTTGGATGTTCCCAGTGGTAGGAGTAAGTGTGGCAAGCTAAGAGGTTCTTTTTCTAAGAGACGATGCATCGTGGCATAAATAGGAGTTGATGGAAAGCACTTGGCGTTACAGATGCCAGAAAGGTCTGCGGACCTTTAAGCGGTGAGTGCAGCATGGGCTGTACCCCTCATTAGCTAATTCCATACCAACCCCCCAAATTTGGTCTAGATTTGCTTCTGCCCTTTAGCATACATCCTGCCCACAGACAAGTTCCTATGGCTGCCAGTTAGCATGTTCTGGGTGAGGGTGATGTGAAAAGGGCATGGGCTGGGTACCCTCTGAAAGCTGGCTTTTTCACTTCTTTTCCCTATAGAGTAAGCTATTTAGGCTGCGATACTTTGGGGCAAATATGCTGTATGATGCTGGGCCTCTCCATATACTGCCGCCATTTGAGAAGCTACTGAACAGCTGGTCTTGCCTTCCCCCAAGCTGGTGGTGTGAAATGAAGTCCGCAACAGCTGTTTTGTCACTGGGACCAAATTGAACAAGGCTCTGTTTTCCCCTCAGCTGTCCAGCTTGCTCTGGTTGTGCCACTGGGTGTATCACTGGAGCACTTTACATCTTTGCCGCAGCTTATAGGCAGTCTGGCTAAGAAGAATAAATGAAGGAATCAGCTCTTGGGTGGGAAGCTACAGTCCAGCGCTGTGTAGGATATTCTGCTCAGTGTCTTGGGCGATGGTGCAAGAGACTGTTGAACAGCTGCAGGCGAGCTTTGGGAGAGCATGCAGCTGCAGCCTCCTGCGGCAGGTGGGGCAGGCCTTCTAGGTTTGGGCCATGTGGAGAGCCCTAGGAATTGGCCCCTGGGCATCAGTTTGTCTTGGATCTGTAGAGTTAGCCTGCATGGCTTGCAGCCCGGTGAGTCAAACACAGTGTGATAGCTATAGGGGCCCATCTGGGACTCAATTAAGCCTCTTCTATTGCTGCATGTTTGGGAACTGAGGATGCAGGAGCCCTCTCAAGCCCCTGGCAGGCTGTAGTGCATAGCTGTTGGGACCATGCTGGTTTCTTTTGCAGGGCCTACTTTAGAACCCTACTTCAGCGGGATGCTTTCAGGAGCTTCTGTAGGTGCAAGATGAGTAGCACCTTGATGCTACAGAAATGAGTTCTTTCCAGTACCTGCTTACAACAGATCCTTTAAAGAGGTGAGCTCAGGTACTGTCATAAATCTACACTTTAATGACACAGTATATATGAACTTGGACCCACTTGGTTAAAAATTCGGATTAGCCAGATACTATAAGGGGGTCTGGAGATACTGTGCATTGCAGAATAAGCTCAAGTAAATCACTGAACACAAAATGCATTGATTTTGGGCATAGAAGTATGGATGCCCAGGTAGCCTGGGTAGTCCCTCGAGAAGAATGTGGAGTGACAGCTCAGAGCCAGCTCGCCTTGTTTCACAGACATATAGCTTTAGTATTAGTAATTCTTTCTACTGTTGGCAGTCCCTGTGTTGGCTCCCTTTGCTTGTTCCTGCTCATATTGTGGCTTTTGCTGTCATAGAGATGATCTAGATTAAATTTATGGAGCAATCCTAACATGGAGCACTCTGCAACAGAGCTTGAAAGCTGAACACGAATGATCTTCGGGCCTGTACTCTGAAGACCCCATACAATAATGCTGACAAGATCAGAAAATATCTTCAGGTAACAGTTGGTTTTCTGTAGTTCAAGGTGTTTAGAGCTCCAAGCTGATGCTTTGACTTCTAAACTGAAAAATTGTGAATGTTGGCAACTTGAACAGCAGCACATCTTGCTTAATGCCATGTGTTTGTTCCCTTTTTGGGGCTGGAACTTATTTTTGCATAATTTCTGCATAGGAGGGGAACATAAGCTAGGATGCTGGTTTGAAATCTGGACTTTGTCTCCTCTATCTTGCACGCTCCTTGCCTCTGACCCATTTTATTCACAGACAGGAGAAGCAGGATCCTGGTAAAGCCCTTAGAGAGAGCTTGAGGTTCTTGAAATGATCTGGATGCTTTGGTTTACGGTAAAGCGAGTCTGTGTACACAGTAAGTTACCACTGAGTAAACGGTCAGCTGTGATTATCCTTGGTGGGCATTGTTGTAGAGGAGTCTGTTTGCCCCGTTCTTTTTGTGCAAGTACAAAACCGTGTTCTCTTGTGCTGTATTTTTCACTCAGTGCCCAGTTTCTTTTGGTCTTTGCCAGCCAGTGGTTTTGCATTTCAGCCAGTACGAAGAACGGTCAAGAGAAATGTGAGTAAATATAGCGTTGAACTTGGTAGGTTGGGCAAATATATAAGCCAACCTAAGCTCACAGGAATGAGTAACCTGCAAGACGGTTAACCAGCTGAGGGCTTAGAAGGGATGGCCTGAGAGTTCTACCCCTCTTTGGTTGTCTGCTCATTTGCTACCTGTATGCAGTTTCATATGGGTATCTATATGCAAATAGCTAAATTGGATGCTTTTGGTATGCTTCTCTGAACACTGGATGCTAAAGGAAGACTGTTTTCCTTGTGGCCTGCTTGTATGAGCTTCCTGGAGATACTAGGTTGGCCACTGTTGAAATGCACTGCCAGACTAGCTAGGTCTTTGGCTTGTTCCAGCTGGGGTCCTGTTATGTTCTTAGATCTAAACTGTGCAATGGCAGGAGAGTTTCTTAGCAGCGAGATTTGCCAGTTAACAGCTAGATCTATTGCTTTCCTGCTCTCTGACCTTACCAGTGGTGGTTGGGGGTAAAGGGCGCCTGCACGCAAGCAGCGCCACTCAGGGGGTCGGTATGAGCTCTAAGAGAGGTCAGGCTGTGGTGTAGTCCTTGCTGATGACTTTGGCTAATGCTCTGAAAGCTCTGCCGACTCCACTTCCTCCTGCTGAATGATGGTCTGTGTTGAGCTGTCAATTGCAGTCCATTTCCCATGTTCCTTCTGTCATTGCCTTTGGCTTGAAGACAAAAGGTCCCACAGTAAGTGACATGAAACAAGGCTGTTTTGGTTCTCTGGGCAGTTATTGTTCCATTTGGCTTGATGCTTGTTGTCAGCAGTTGTGGTGATGGTGGGCAGTTTTAGTGTTGTCTGTACATGCCCAAGCACTCTTCCCAGGAAAAAGAGCCTGTTTTAAACAACGAGGTTTTCCACTGAGACTTGTGATCCCCCTTGTGTGGGGAGCATTGAGTGAGTGTTGGGGCTACTGATAGAAAGGTAGGCAATGCAATATATATGGAAGCAACTGGCAAATGGCTTCATGTATGGAGCAAGCAGAAAACCAGGGATTAATCTGGCACATGGAACCCACTTCACATAGTAGTAGATCAGATCACAAGTGTTTCTGAGCATGTGCAAAGTAACTTTCCTTCACTTCTGTGTAATCAGAAGCAGCAATACTCACCACCACCTGTGTAGTTTTAGGGGAAAGGGGCTGCAACTCTAGGTTACAGGTGATGACTTCAACCTTCAAATCTCTCTTCCTGGAACACAAAAATTGCAGACAGGCTGAATATATCTTGGCTGATTAAGCCCAGAATGAGGTGCCATACTTCCTGTGCCCTGCTGCACACTAGAATTCTAGGTTAAATCTTGCATGGTGTAAGTAGGCTTAGAGTTCTGCAGTAGGACTTCCCTTCTCAACCCCTACAGATTTGTCATATCTCCTAAATCTCCTGTTGAGGGCAGCAGGAATGGATCCACCAGCAGTCTCTGCTATACCTATCAGATACCACTGGGGTTTTAGCAAAAAAGTTTTCAGATGTGCTCATTAGCACCACTTTGCACATACATGATAGAGTAGTTTTGTCTCACAGCTTCTTTGAGGCCTTTCCCAATTACTGGGAAAGTGATGTTAGAATGTTGGGACCGTAATGGGGAGTGGATTACATTTATGAACTTGGCCAGACAACTGATTAACCCAAAGCTGATTGCTTTGTTCTCTTTCTTGAATAGTATTAGGCATGTGGACTGGAAATGGAGGTATCAGCTGGGCTCTGTAGAACCCAGCAGTGTAAGTTTGGAAGGCACTGGGGTAAGAGCATAGCCAGGGGAACATGTATATGATACTCCATGAAAACAATTGCTGAGGAACAGTGAAAGAAAGTGTTTATACTGCAAGAGTACATGGGCCCATGAACTGGCTTTATTTCACCTGTGCTAAGGCTAGGTAAGGGAGCTGTTAGGGAAAGGATTTCTCAGGGGCGTAAATAATTGAGGTAAACCAGGAAGCCTGGACCTCCTGAAATAATAATGGATGTTAAAGTTTGGGGTGTTCACCAGCAACCCACAATTCTAGGTTCATGTGTAAGAGAAAACATCTTGGGGGTGATGCATTGCTGGATTATTTAGCATGAGTGGCTGGGGGCTCATATTTGTTCACAACAACCTACAATTTAAACTGTGGGTGGGTATGATGACCAAACCGGGTTTAGTGTCTCTTGCTGAATAGGCTCCTATCCGTGAACTCTACAGACCAGGATCACTTTGAACTCCTAGATGTCATGGAATCCTCATTTCTTGGAGTGGATTGTGGGATTGTGACAAACATCTCATTGAAGAGAAAAAGTTCAGTCAAAATGAAACACTCCAAAAGGTTACATCTAAAAACTGTTTGTCCTTCTTAGAGTAAATACTTTGGAATGGATGGGACATGTTAAATTAATAACTAGATACAATTTTTGGTCATTAAAATCTCACTTATTAGATATAAGTTGCAATATATCTAATTCAGGTGTGGAGTCTGAACTGGCAGATATTGGCTGACTTGGTCACTTATCAGCCCTAGTTACCATGTCCAGTAGATAAGAGAAGGTAAGAGTTGAAGTCAGTCAATGTCTGGAAAGCCTTGGGCTCCCCACCCCAGTTTAATAGGTATTTGTGTTTTGGTGAGGTTTATGGGTCGTATCTGGGTGCATCAGAAAAGAAGCTGTATGTACTCTTACTTTCCGTTCCTGTAAGCAGCATCTGTGAATGGCATTTTTTTGTAATATGTAATTTGTACCCAGCTGCTTGGTGACAGTCATACATCCTTCCCTGGATGGGCAAATGGGATTTAATTCTTGGTGGACACGGGCAGCAAGCTTTATGAAGAAAGAAAATAGATATTATCTTTTTCAGGGATGAATATTTTCTTTGATTAAAGTAAAACATGGTTTCAAAAACAGAAGAGGAATATTTACAATGAAACCAGTATAAATCCATATAGTGATTTAAGCTAAATCACTTAAGCTAAATAATTACCTCTATTATTTACATCCCTGCGAAAGCCTTGTGTTAATTGTTTAGACACAGTTCACTGGGAATTATGGAAGTGCCACTGAATCAAAGTTTTACTAGGGATTGGCGGTGCCTTCGCATAAAGTTTTTCATTTCAATTTTAGCTTACACAGGAGAGGCTCTTCCTGAAGTTTGCCTGCTTCATGCCCTTCATTCAGCTGCTTCCTGAGAGAAGGGAGGAACAAATACAAATACTACAGCAGCTAGAAAATTTTGGTCCACACACGATTGCAACCTAGCACAGTGCTGTTGTTTTAGGAGGCTGAGAATTAACAACATACCCATTTATTGGAGTGATGATCTGGCTTGGATATCCTCCAGTTAATTGCCTGTCTTTACCTTGGCAGGAAATAGAAAATGCTAATTCATTTATTATGATGTTGGTCTATCGTCCTCATCTCTATCATTTTATAGAGGACACCTTGAGTAAAATCCAGTTGGTGTCGCCCACCAACATAAAGCTTCCATAAGCAGAACGAAAAATGAACAACTCTCTGGGTGGACCCTCTGCAGCAGATTTGGGGGGAGGAGCCCACGGGGCAGCAGGGGAAGGGGTGGCTTCCTTGCATGAGTGTAAATTTGCTTGTGTGGCATTGGGTCCCACCCATAAATTTACAAAGGGTGCAATCCTGTATGTGTTTAGCTAGTAAAAGTACAATTCCCCCAGCCAGCATGCTGGAGCTTAGTAGGACTTTTTCTGGCTAAACATGCATGGATGTTACATTCTTAGTGTTACAGATGAAAAAACAAGACAGTCCAGGCCTGCATGCTCTCTCTTTAATTCCAGCGCTCCAAGGATGAGATGGCCAACTAGCATAGGGCCTCAGGTTCTCCTCCCTACCTTTCCAAGAGCCAACCTGTGTTTTAATTATGACTGCCAACAGATAATTATGTATAGTTGACTAATCATTTGGCTTTTAGCTTGTTGGTTGATTGTCTGTATTTAACTATGTTTGCCTGTTGACTAAATCTCAGCATAGATGCCTTTCTGAAACACTTAAGGGATCAGGTGTAACAATTCAGTAGATGAAAACATCACTAGCTTCGAGAAGCAAAGGTCAAAATTTTCTTTTCCATCCCATGTAACAATAAAACTTCAGATCCAAACAGTGAAAAAACAGTGTCTTTGACTTGCACCCTTTAAAACTTGCTCTCACTAATTATAGTTGCCTCTAATCACTCAGTTGGATCCAGAAACATTGTTCCACCAGTATAAGGAATACTGCTTGTGGAACAGGACTTCGTTAAGATAGGTAGATGGGGCAACCCTTACCATGGATCCTTTGGGAAACAGGGTCGTCCTTGGTGGGGTATAGGCTTCCCTTCCTCCCTTCACCTGCTTTTCAGCAAGGACCCTTTCCCCCGAAATCTGTCAAAGTCAATGGAGGAAGATTTCTCCATAGAGTAGCTTTGGGGACAAAAATTCCATACAAAAACAGCTGGAGAGGAGAAGGAAAAAAGGAATCCAGAAAGTTTGGGTTAAGGATAGTGAGAATTTAGAAAGGTATATGCAATCATTCCCCCCCCTTTTTTTTTGTTCAAGTATTCCACAGGACCAAAAAGGTTGCTTATTCTGTTTATTTACCTGAAAGAGAGGTTAATTGGACATCTGTAGAGCAAATCTGCAGGGCGTGTGGGGAATTGGCACAATACTGCACTGTACTGCATAACCAAACAAGAATTTGCCTTATGTGGAAAACTGGTGTGGTGCTTAGAGTTTTGGCCTGGGCACCTGGGAGATCCGGGTTCTAGTTCCCAGTCTGCCATTAAGTTCACTGGGTAGCTTTGGGCATGTTACTTACTTTTCACTCAAACTAGCTCACAGCACTGTCGTTGTGAGGATAAAAGCAGAGTGGAGAACTGTCTAAGCCATCTTGGATTGCTTGCAAGAGGATAAAAGACAGCTTATAAATGCAATATTAAAATATGCTTCATGAGATCATTGGTCCTTCTAGCTCAGTGTTTCTTACTCTGATTGGTAATTTATCTTGTCAGAGGCCTTTCCCTTCCCTTGCTGCTTGACTGATTTCATTTGCAGTTGCCAAATACTAAGTTTGGGATCTTCTGCATGTAAAGTTAGGGCTCTTTCACAGGCAAAGTTCTCTTTTTGATGTGGAATCTCTAGTCTGTTTATCTATTCATAACCTTGAGATGAGATATATTAGCTGGGATGCAACTGTCCAAAGTTCTAGATGCAGACACTGCCCTCAGTCTTTTGTTCAGCCTGTTAATTAATGGGGCTATTCAATGAAAGAATCAACTGGAACACGAGTTTGGTTATAATGGGCATGTGAAAATGGGTGGAAATTAGTGAAGCATGTGTTCCTACATATATTCCATCACATAAAAGTGCTCATTTGGAACTCCATGGTCTTTATACTAACAATGTTCTGTACCCCTCTTCCAAGCACTGAGAAGATTCAAGGGACCCAGGATCTGTTTTTCTTAAGGTGGTTGCTTGAGAATTATGACATTTCTGATGCAAGATTTATTACACATGTGTAAATATAAGAGGAGGGTTCACATCAACAGCCAGCACTTTCCTGTTGCTCATCAGATTTCTCAGGGTGTCTGTAGTGCATACAGAGAACCAAGTCAGCTCTCTGTCTCCTTTTCAGACCCTGTTCCTGCAAAGTGGAAGAATGGCAGATGGGGTAGTCCCCTGCTCTTGTCCTCGCAGGGTGGCCTACAAGACATCTGTCCCTGATGCTTTCTATGGGGAAGGAACAAGGCCCACACTTTACCTGCCACCAGCTGCATTTTGCCTTAAGAAATAAGGCGCTTGCATGCTGATGGCTTATTTACAGAAAAACTGGAAGGAATCCTGAACCTTTGCAATTAAGGATCCCTGAAATATCATTCAGGCCAATCCTAGCCCCTTATCAGCATCTTCCTGGCTCTGCATTTGCTTGTTTTCACAGTTATAGGTGAATTATTCTAAGAGATTTTCTCTCTGTTGAAGCAGAGGAAGCTCAAGTTCTCCAAAGGAAGCTGAAACGTTTAAGCCGTTACTGGGTTTTTAGCTACTGATTTCTCTTTTACTTCAGTCACTGTGCTTAAGGGGGAGAGAAGAGAGCCCTGTATGCAGCGTCTTACCCCAAGATGTTGGTATGCAGCTCTGTTTGGACTTCTGTGCAAGTCTGTATGGGAAGTAGTGCTGTAACAAGCTTCTGCCCTGGAATTTAAGCCTGTTTAGTTTTGAAATGTTTGACTAAATAGTGCATCTCAGTTACCTTTTGACAGTATCTCAAATTTTGTTATGACAATTGCAGTTGATCTCTTCTGTGCAGCAATTTCCATTTACAAAATGCTATGCCCAGATGCAGGTGGCAGAGATAATGAGGGGAAACCATGTCCTACGAAGAAAGATTGAAGGGAGTCAGTATGTTTAACCTGCAGAAGAGACAAGATTGCCATCTTCAAATATTTGAGGGACTGTCACAAAGGATGAAGACAATTAATTTTCCATTGCTACAGAAGGTAGGGCCCGAACCAACAGGTACATCTAAAAGAAAGGAGATTTCAACTAAATGTTAGAGAGAACTTCTAATACTGGATGTCGAACAATGGAACAGACTGTCTTGGAAGTGCTGGACTTTCCTCCTTTAGAGGCTGTTAAGCAGAGGCTGGAGGGCCGCCTATCAAGGATATTTAACAGCAGAATTCCTGCATCAGCAGCATAACATTTGAGGTCCATTCTGAGTGTATGTTTCAGTGACATCAAAAAAGGCTTGAACAAATTTATAGAGGACCTGTCTTCTGGTAGCTATTAGCTATGATTGCTAAATGAAAGCTCCATATTTTTTTAATTTGTTAAATTTTATTTTTTTAAAATGCAAGAATTAATCAACAGTCCATTAATGATTCAATAACAAAGAAACTGACTGTTTCATGAGCACATTTGTGGAGTTTTTGTTGATGTTCATGGCACAAAAAGAGTGCAAGTTATAGCGCATGGGTCCTCAAACTATGGCCCACGGGATGCATCTGGCCCTCCATGCCCATTTATCTGGCCTGCCTGAGGTTTTGGACTTGCTGCACATGTGCCCGCCGTCACCCGCCTCACCCCATGCATGCCCACCAGCGCCTTGCCCTGCGTGTGGGGAGGCGGTGACTTGCTCGTGAGGAGATCATTTTGGACGTGCTCAGAGAAAATGAACTCCAAGGGAGCAGGCCTCCGCCTCGTGCGCCCGCTGCTGCATCACGGCGCATGCCCACCCCCACCTCGCCTGCCTGTGCCTCACCTCGCCTCACTGCGCACCCCGGCCCCGCCTCAGTGTGTGCTGGCCCATGTGCCCCACTGACACCGTCTTTCCGGCCCGCGCCCAGCACCAGCACCTTTCTGCTGGCCCCCTAGTGAAAAAGTTTGAGGACCTAAATTATAGAGTAAACAGGGGTTATATAAACCAACCTTTCTCAACTTGTAGCCCAAACCTTCTGGTGGGCAGCAACTCCCACCAGCTTCAGCAAGCACAGTAAGCACAATAGCCCAAAATATCTAGAGTTTGCCAGGTTGGGGAAGGCTGATCTAAAAGGTCTTGTCTCTACAATTTACAATGAGTACTTGGTAGTTTTCTTGGAGTACTGGAATTTATAAAGGGTAAAAGCCATCTTTTTCCAAGTTACATGTATTTTGATGACCTCCAGCACACCAGTGCTGTTTGGTAGACTTCCCTTCCAAAATAATAGTTCATAGAGTTGCCATAGTGGCAACTAGAGAAGGCTGATGCTTTTGTGTTGTGTTTTGTGAGCTTGCCAGAGACAGTGACAAGTGTTGCATGACAAAGCAACCCATTATGGTTCTGAAACCATGGCGATCGGATGTTTTGTGTGACTGATTCCCACAGGGTGACTCACTGAGGGCAACAACTCATGGCTTATTTTGGGGTAGTTGTAGTTTGAACCTGGGTAACACAACCTATCATGAGACCAAGGTATTGGTTACCAACATGAGTGGCAAGAGCAGCAGAAACTCCTGGCCAAGTGTGTCCTGGTAGCTGCCAGTGCCAGCCTTCCTAGAAGTGCCCAAGAGGCACTTGAGGGCAGGTGGCAAAAGCTTCTGCTGTTGGCATTGTGCCTGTAAACTCTTTTGGGCTCAGCATGGCTTTTTTCAGTTTTTCCCTGGCAATTATGAAATAAATCAACGGTTAAGTCAGCATTTACAACCCTTATTTGTAAAGCATCAAGTAATATCTGCAGAGTGCCCCAGGGCATCTTGGACAGGCTGCCAGTGGTTGTCAGTCTTTTCAAATTCCCCCCAATTTTCACACATATCCATAAGATGGTACATATTGTTATATTTTCACTTGTACTTAAGGCAACTGTTGAAGTTCTCAGTTGTGGTAATGGGGAGCTTTACGTGGGCAATGTGTAGGGGCATGCTTGCTGGTGAAGTCCAGCATGTGTCCATTCTGAACATTGCCCCATAAAGGGTGCAGCTAAATTTGGTTAACCCTTTGGTTCCCTCTGACAGCTGTCAAATTTAATCAGAGGCATTCATGATCTTGGCTTGCAAGAAAAGGTTCACCACCTTCATGATTAGATCTTTGTGCTCCTGGAGTTATTTGGACTTGTGTGTCCTAAGGGTGTTCTGATGTTTTTGGAAAGATAGTCTACAGATATGGAGAGTCCAAAACATCTGGACACACTTAGGATGCCTGGGTCCAAAACACCCCCCAGGAGTATCTTGCTGCGAAGGGGAGTAAACAAGTTGCCACCACACTTTTGCAAGCTAAAATCACACACCATTTTGACATTTGACAGCTTGCATTTTGACAGTGGATTAAAAAAAGGAATAATTTTTGCAAATGTAAATTTGGGGGCAGGGAGAATTAAAACCATAACCAACCCTATGTGGCAAGTGTGGCAGCTCTCGAAGATGTCCACAATGATGGGGATTGCTGAATGGCCAGTTTTTGTGATCTCCAGGAAAAAAAGTTTAAACTGTGAAAAATACCACGGTAAGCCTGAAATGGCTTGCAGTTGTCTCAGGGATGGGGAAGAAAACTTGTCCCCCCTGTAGTGTCTCCTGGGATACCCAAGGGAGGAAACGAACAACCCACAGTGAGTCCTGGCATCTTTCAGGTGCACCATGTGTTGTTTGCACTACGGGTTGCAAATGGTCATTGGTGGTCAGCATGACATCCAAATGGATCCATGGCGTTGGAATGCTGGACTAGACGAACCCTTGGTCTGATTCAGCAGGAGCAGGTCTGAGGAAGGTTTAGCCCTTAACTGCCAGAATGTGGAACTTTGGGAGAGCACTGAATTCTGCAACCTGGGGAGTATTATTAAACCTGAGCAGGCTTTAGCCTCAAAGGCAGCCCAAAAATAATGTTACATAAAAATGAGCCTGCAAGTGCCATCCAGTGTGTGTGCAATAGTGCAAATTGATTCTGAATGTTTGTAGTGCCTTTTCATTGTAGTTAACAAGAATTAGTGTAAAGCATAACGCTGCACTTCTTCACCCAGTCTTTCCACTGCCCTCCAGCCAAGAAACCTCCAGCTGTTCTTCTTGGCTAGCTACCTTCAGCCTCAGAAATAACCTTAACCTAAGAAGGGAGGAACTGTGGCTTACTGGGAGAGCACCAATTTTATGTAGTGGGAAAGTCCCAGGTTTAATCTTGAGGACTTCCACCTTTAAAAAAAGATCAGGTAGGAGGTGAGAGAAGACAACCTAGTCAATGCCATGGATTGATACTCTTGGTCTGATTAAACATACACTGGTCTGAATAGACAAATAGGCTGATTCATACAACTTGGCAACCCATACTCAACAACATAGGTTGTTGTTGACTCTGGGTTGCTACATTGTGTAATCACAGCCATCCTAACAAGCTATGAAGACAGCCCATGGTTCATTTGGTTGTACATGGTTAAAAAACCATGGCTTGCTTCACTTCTTGGGTTGCACAACACAACAGTCCTTGGTTCAACAACTCACACTCAATCCATGCTCAATCTTACGTACATACGGATTGTGAAGTTCCATGAACTTAGCCATTGTTTGGCCTGCTCTTTCCTGTGTGGTGGTTGTTGTTCTCCTCCTCTTCCTCTGTGTTACAGCTTTCTTCTTCTTGGAGGAACCAAAGTCATCTTGCATGGTTGCCCTCCTTTCTATCATATTCTCGCAATAACCCTGTGAGGCAGGTTATGCTGGAGGTCAGTGGCAGGTCCAAAGTCACTCCCAGTGAGCTTCGTGTCCAAATGGGGATTAAAACTCGGCTCTCCCACCGAACACACTGGCTTTTCTTGTAACACCAGTGCTTGTTCTGCAGCCACTTACCTGAAAACAGCTCCTGTTTCTGCAGTTTGGGGCATGCAGAGCCACTGGATTTCTGTTTTGCAGAGGGACGAAGTTGAGGAGGGACGAAGCCGGGTCTTAAAGAAGCTGGCAAGATGGGGCTTCGTTGTGCCACGGCAGCCAAGCAGCGAGGGTGGAGACTGCAGTGAGTGTTGCCGATAAAGAGGGAGCAACACATTTGCCAGATGGCTGATAAAACATGTGGCACATTGCAGATATGGAACGGTGGATTTATTTTTACCTTCCTTGGCAAAATTGAGGTAATGTTCAGACTTGGAGGCTACATTTCCATTTCTTGAGGACTGAGCACTGCTTATCTTAGGACAGTCTCCCTTCTATTTTCCTATGTTCTTGGTCATCCTCTTCTCAGTAACTTCATTATCAGATTGCCCAATCATAACTCCCTCTTTGAGGTTATGTATGCTCTATTTTTAAGTGCTCCCGCTCCCTCCAGCCCCATGTTTGAGAGTGAACATGAAACTGTCGCCTTTATGCCTCTTCCCATTTCTGAGAATTCTTCACTGCGTAAAAACTGATGGTGATGAAAGTGGAAGAAAGGGGCAGGACGTACTGGAAAGCAGAGGTCACCAGGTTGAAGCTTCAGCATTAGTGGTTTTCACTCCTTTTTTCCATCTTCATCATCCCTAGCTGGTATGGCAACCCAGAATGGCTGTGGCCATTGCTGGCCAAAGCTGATTGGAACTGTAGTCCAAAACACCTGGAAGGCACCAGGTTGGAGAAGGGTGGGTCTTGTGAGTCATGATCTGTAGAAGGAATTTGTGTGCACGGCCCATTGCTGTTTGTAACTTTTACTTTATTCATCTAGAAGTATGGTTTATCTTGGCATGGAAATGGGCACGGTAGTGCTCTAAACTCTGTGATAAGGGTGCCTACGCTTGTATTCAGAATGCAGAAATGCAGATTCAGTCTATGGGCTTTCTGGTTAAAGGATTTCAGGAAGCTGTTTCATTGATGATTTACTACTGTGGCTCACAGCCCATTGGAAAATCACTCCAAAAGGTTTACATTTTGGGGGAAGCAGTGGGAAGGCTGTAACTTGGCTTGGGCCACTTGAATGGTAGCACTGGATCCTGGTCTGGTTATTTTAATAGTGCTTTTAAAGCTGATGTTTCACCATGTAAGACTAATCCTAAAATAGCCTTGAATGTCATGCTGGGAGGATTGTCCAGTTGTGTGGACCTTGTGAAAGACTGTGCCCAGTAGTAATTCTCTCTCTCTCTCTCTCTCTCTCTCTCTCTCTCTGCTCTGCAGGCCTATGAACTTTCCACCTTAACAGGCACTCAAGTGTTGCTGCTTGTGGCCAGTGAGACGGGTCATGTCTACACATTTGCCACCCGGAAACTGCAGCCCATGATCACCAGTGAGACGGGGAAAGCGCTGATTCAGACATGCTTGAACTCTCCTGACTCCCCTCCTCGGTCAGACCCAACCACTGATCAGCGCATGAGTGCCACAGGCTTTGAGGAGACGGACCTCACTTACCAGGTGTCCGAGTCGGACAGCAGTGGGGAAACAAAGGTAAACTCTCCCCTTCTCCCTGTTTCCTACCTGGTGGGCTTGTTGGAGTTGTTCCCGGGGCAGCAAGAGCTTGTGCTTGCATCCTTGCCTTCTGATAGGCCACGGGTTGCATCCTGCAGAGTTTTGCATGCACTGGGAAACACTTAGCCTCTGGGTGGCACAATTAGAATGGGAAGTAGCATCAGCACTCTTGTTGCTATGCACAGCCAGGGGACTTCTTACTTCCTTATAGGCAGCTCAGATCCCTTCTGATGTTTTGGACTACAACTCCCATAAGCCTTCACCACTGAGCATGCTGGCAGAGGCTGATGACAGTTGCAGTCAAACCTCCTGCTGGACACCAGGTTGCCTGATTCTCTCTCAGTTCATCCTACCCTGTCCTGAACTAATAAAATTAATTTCTGGAGCACTGTTGGTCTTTAAAAAAGTGATTATTAGTACTCCAGTACATAATCTAATATACAGTGTAATTTCATAATTAATGTGTCCAGAGCCACTAATCTATAAGATCTATTCCAGCAGCTAATAAATGGACCCTAGATTAAAAAAAATAAAATTGGATTGAGTTTGTCTGGCTGTGCCAGAGCAGTTTTTTATTGGTAAATGTTACTTATAAACATAATACCCCATATCCTATTTTTCCATTGATCAAATGATAGTATTTGAATCTATCACCCAAGATTTTGTCCATAAAATATCTGGTGTGATCATCCCTTGAGAGCTGGTCTTTTATGTTGTAGTACTTTCCATTTTGGAAGGATAACTTTGGGAAAACTTCTGGCCTTCAAGGTGTTTTAACCTGCGGTTCCCATCAGCATTAGCTAGCAAAGCCGTTGATGAGTGATGGCAGAAGTTATATCACAAAACCTCTGGTGGAACTCAAGGTGACCACCTCACTTCATAAACAGAAGGTGTTTATGGGTGTTGGGGGCGAGCAGTATGCCATTGTGGTGATGAGGTTGGGGGCTTTAGGCTTGGAAAACCGCCTTACGTAAAATTATGAATAATGCAGAGGGAGGATTCCTGTCCCTTCCTAGAAATAAAATTGTCTGGGAGTAGTTTAACATTTCCTCTTCCCCTCAATCTTCTAAACTTATGTTCCACGTTATGTAGAGATGGTCACAGCTCAGGAGGCTTAAAAAGAAGAGGAAGGGTGAAGGCTGGATCTGTGATAGACTATTTGCCATGGCTACTTAATGGAACCTCTGTGTTCGGAGATACTGTATCTCAGTTGAGGACAAATATAACAGGAAGAAGTCATTGCTTTTTATTCCTCCTGGATGCATAAAAGGGGATTTTATTGGAGTTTCCTTTGGGTGCCAACACAGAGCATTGGCTGTCTTTCTGTGTCAGGGAATTTGGTGGGGATATGGGTCTTGTATCTAGTTTTGCTTGGCTAAGGTTTTGACAGTGGGGAAGGACTGTGCCTGCTTCGATGGTCAGGATTCGTGCAGTGTGACTCCTCCTGGGTGGTTGTCTCTCCCCCTCCACCCGCCGCCCTGCCCTTCCCTGGGACTTGAGTAGTTGCGCCTTGTCAACTGCCCTGGATGCCTGCCGAAGTGGAAGCGAGCTCATGCCGTGCTTCGCCGCCTGCACTGTGGTGGTCTCCCATGCAGGCTGGAGGGTGGGGTGTGGGGCAGAATGACAGGTGCCCCTGGCCTTCCTCTCGTGCCCTCGCCAAGCAGGTCTGCTTTTCCGTTATCTCTCCTTGGGCGTCTCTCTGCTCATTGATAAAAATTTGATTCTGCCTCCGTGGCCATATAAGGCCTGGTTTCCCTCCCCAGATTCCCTGGCTGGGCCCCTCACATTCCTTATAAGCTGCAGCTGTCTCTTGCTTTGGTGCTGTTTTGGAAGGGGGCAGGGAGGACATGGGGAATTGAAACACTTGGGTGGACAGACTATTCCTCCTTTCTTTCTCTGTCTCCAACCAGCTCGACTGCTGCCTTAACTCATTGCTTTCTTCTCAGCAGCCTCAGCGCCAGCAAGGAAGGGAGCTGGCTGACCACACGGGGCAATGGCTTTCCCATCTCAAGACACTAGAAAGGTTCAACTGCTGCCCATGTCACTATTTTTTTTAGGAAAAACCTTTTCTTTCCACAGTACTTTAGAATGTTGAACTTCTTGATAGGCAAGCATTCCACCAGTAACCCTTCCAGCAGCCCTGGACCCATGGAGTTGGAAGGCACTTCAAAAGGTCATCTAGTCCACCCCATCGCTAATGCCAGTGGAATTGTTGTTATCCCCATATTGCAGGTGGGATGCTTTAGAGAGAAAGAGGTGGCATTTAGCCTGAGGGTGCCTGCTGAGTTGAAGGCTCATTGAACAGTACTCTTACTCATCAGAAGTGAATCAAAACCTTGATCCATCCTAGCCCAGTATTGTCAACACTGACTGGCAGCAGCTCTTCAAGGTTGTAGGCTAGATTTTTTCCTAAACTAACTTGGAAATGCTGGGGAAATCCTCCCCTCAGGTTATTTATTCCATGATTTGCACATAGCTATTTAAATTGTAAGGTGTCTGTTCACAGCTTTGGGTTTTTTCCTTCTTGTCCCTTCCCATGCATCTGAGCAAAAGGTTTAATGCTGGTGTGACATTCACGTAAACAACCTCTTCATGGGCCTTACTATTTCCCTCATGAGATACAGGCTTGGCAAGACCTAAAGGATGTTTTCCACAGTCACACGTCACTGTGCATTACTTTTAAGGCCTGATGCCCGGGGCCACCATTGAAGGGCCACAATCAGGAACACCCCCATTCTTGCCCCTCATGCTCTATTTGCCTTTTCCCAAGTTTCCTTCCCCTGCCTACTGACACCAGAAGAAGGCATTCCTAGCCATGCCTGGAGGTGCTTGGGCTTGTATCTGGGGCCTTTGGCTTGCTCTCCGCCCAGCCAAGGCCCCTCCTCCTCCAAGGCTCACTATCGCTGCATCCTGGCCCCTCCATCGTAGTTGCAGAGGAAGTGGCCTTCTCAGACTCTGCTCCTCTTCCCACTATAGGCTGCTGCGACGACTAGTCCGTGGCTTCCAGGGAGGTTAGCCATATATTACCAGGCCTCTCAAAGGAAACCGGCCTCTGTATACCAGTTGCTGGGGAGCAGCAGCAGCAGGACGGTGTTGCTGCTCTCACATCCTGCAGACCATGCTTGGCTGATGTGCAAACAGAATGGTGAACTCAGTGAACCTTTGCTCTGACCCAGTGTGCCTCTTCACATACTCAACAGCAACTCTTTCCCATCACCGTTATGCAGTTCTTTTAGCTGGCAATACCAGGAATTGGTTTGTACTCTCTGCGTGCAAAGCATGCCCTCAGCCACCAAGCAAAGGTCCCTTTCAGACGTGAGGTCCTCTCGTTTGCTCATCGGTTCCTTCTCTGGTAGCTTGCAGGAACTAGAACTCCTGCACCAACTTCTACCCACTGCTATCTGAGCTGGCTCACAGGCCCCTGTGGAGAGTGCAGCCAGCAGCTATACCAAGGAAACGCCTCCTCCTTCCCTCACCCCTTTTCTACCTCTTCCTTCTAGAAACCAGCAGTCTGGTTTGATGGTGAAAGGATTGGGCTGGGGACTCAGCCATGGAGCCCCCTGGGTTACTTTGGGCCATTCACTCACTCTCAGCCTAATCTACCTCACAGGGTGGCTGTTGAGAGTGAGGATCAAATGTAGTGGAAGAGAGCTAAGAAAGCCACCTTGGGTTTCTTGCAAGAGAAAGAATAGCAGGATAGAAATGTGCTTGAAGGAGGATCACTTGTGCTACCCCTTCCCACCCCGGGTGTTGCTGTAGAGAGAGACCGTAGCCCATCAGGAGCTATATGCACATTGCATTCAGATCATTGTGGGTGGGCATCACTTCCTCATATCCTATATATCCTGTTTAGAAGATCACCAGCAGTAAATATGAATATGATTAATTGCTGTGGTGCTTTTAAAATGGGGATCTTGCTGTCTGCATGTCATCTTGAAGTTCTACCACAATGTAAATAACAATGTAAATGTAAATAACTTTAATTCATAGATTTGTGCTCAGAGGCAGTGTGGATTCAGATTAACACAGCACATGAAAGGAGGGAGTGGGTTGTAGGCTGGCTCTGGATCGCTTCTTGCCTCACATTTTAAGAATCCTGGCTAAAAGCATAAACAATGTGATATGGAATAGAACATACCCTTCCTGCCCATAACCCAACGTACCCTGCCTCTCCACCCATATTCTGCATCCAGGCTTTTGTTTTGGAAGACTGATTGCAAAAGCTAGAAGTATATGGCTTTTCATGCTTAGCAGAGCTACCCTTGACCTTTAAGTGAAACTACTTTGGATGAGAGGAGGCTTTTACTCTCTGCTCATCCCTTACTATGGAGCCATTTCCTGAATTTTTCTACATTTTCAGAGCTGGGTTTTATGACTGAGGGCAAAATTAAAGGCACTTTCACCAGCTAAGCACCCTCTGGATGTGTTGGGCTACAAGCATGCCTAGAGGGTACTGGGTTGGGGTCCGATCCCTCAGTGAACCTACCATCTTGCCACCGTTGTCAGCAGCTGCTCCCCTCCTTTCTCTTTCTCTTTCTCATCACTGCATCTGCTCACTTGCCTAAAGTCAGCAAAACAAATCGGTGGTGGCACTAATGCCGTTGCTCCTTACCACATGGATGCTTGGCTTGCACAAGAGGCATGGGGAACAAGCTGGCTGCAGTGGTGAAGAGGAGGACTTGTCAGTGGGCCCCGCTGGTGTGTGGGCTCTCAGCAGGTGCCCGGCCATGCCTACCCTTCCTGTCAGCATGGCTTGGCAGCCAGCATGGCTGTGACCCTTCCTCAGACTCACTCTATCAGGCAAGGGCTGAAGTGCCCTGCTGGCACTATGCTGCCGTGGTGGGAGAAGCAGTGGGCCAGGCAGGCTGAATGACTTTGACGCTGGAACAGTGGAGATGGGCCCGTGATCATGCCACAGTGATGCTGACACTGTCTCGTGCAAGTAAACTAAGACAAGTAGCTTCTGTTCTGTTCAGTTG